CATCTCTCAGAGCCAGGTTTTATATGCCCCTGGAGGATGCACAATGGGCCTAAGTGCTGTGGAAGTATCCACCTTTCCCACCTTACAGATACAGATAGTTTATATTGTTAATTAAAACTAATGTAGGATGTTGCTATGAAATTAGATTGTCCATTTTGACAAAAAATATCATGTGTTCCTATTTATAAGATGGCAGCAATTTATAAAATTAATTTTGCTTAGTAATCAGAAAAACTTTATTCCTTATAATTGATAATAAATTTTTATTATATTATTCAGTGTTTTTTATATTTTATGGCTCAGATATTCACAATATGTCTCAGTTTATGATTTTATGTGTTTTGTGTAGGCTTTGTTACTGTTTCCCTGTTATAAAATTGTTTGAACCTCTTAATATTATTTGACGATGTGGATACTCAACATTAAAACATGAAAAAATTTGTGTTTAAACACACCTTACACAATATCGTGTCTTGAAGTAAAATAGGTCATTCTTTTTTTGTTTCTAAATATTCAAATGCTGAAATTTTATTTTAAAACACGTTTGGGGCAGAACGATTTTATTTAGTGAACACTTGAAAAGGCGCTTTTCGTAGTCCTATTTAAATATGGATAAAAGCAATCTTTATGACAATATATATTATTGGTCACATCGCGAAAAATGCACCGGATTGCACCGCGTTGCCAGATTTACGACGTTCAATAGCTATCGAGGATCGGAATGAATTTTTAGTGGATCATTAGTGCTAATGAGTCTATAAATATTCAACGATCGTTCTTGCAATCGGCTGCCTATCTAATAAATATAAAAAACAAGTTTGTTTTTGATTGTCTCAAAATGATTTCGCGTTGTAATGCGTTCATCTAATAGTTACAACTTTTAAACATTATACATTTTTATAAATTATACATTTAAGAATTTGTACAGTTGTTATAGGAGTTTATTAAATATTTTAACCAAAAAGATATATTTTTAAATAAAAAAATTGAACATGTCTATTAATAATGTTGTTTGTCGTCGGACAGCCGTATAATTAATAAATAATTCCACAATTAATTATTACATTTGCTGTTATATTAATCATTCTGTAATATCCTTTATTCTCTGATATGTAATTGGATTTGGCAACATCGTAAAAATTTCGGCGGTTACGATACATCCAAGTGGGTAGATTCAGAAACGTTAATTCAATTTATATTCCTAGCAGCACCGACTGGACTAATGTTTTGAGAGAGAGAGAGAGAGATATATGCTTTATTGTCGTAAAAAAAATTTACAAAAATTTTATAGACAAAGCGTGTAACTTAAATACTAAACATATTATAAAAAATAACTAAACAGCAGAAAAAACAAACAGAAACAAACAGACAAAATAGGAATAACAATTGCAATGGATATGCAATATCCGTCATTATAATTATTCTAATTTAATTTTTAAATTTAAAGTTACATTTAAACTTTAATATTTAATTATTTAATTAATGCCATTGTATGTGGAACTCAAATGTCTAAGGTACGTTATAAAATTCTGCTACTGTGTAATATGGTCTTTCTAGAAGAAAAGCTTTAGCGAGTCTTCGGAACTTATCGTATGTATTTATAGATTTTAATTGCATCGTAAGGTTATTATACAATTTTTTGGCATTGTAGGTAATGGAATGTTTTAATAGGTCAGAAGTGGGCATTGTTAAATAAACATCAGTCTCTAAATTTCTTGTAGGATATCTACGAGTCGGTCTTTCGGATAAATTTTGAATGTGCTTGCGAACTAAGCAGACGGATTCGAAAATAAATAGAGCAGGAAGGGTTAGAATTTTGAAATTTTTGAAGTAATTTTCGCAATGTGTCCTACTACTTAAACCAAATACATAGCGGATTGCTCTTTTTTGCAGTTTAAAAATAGATTCAAAAGGTATAAGCTACAAGAACCCCAGAAAGGTAAACCATAGCGAAGGTGAGATTCGAATAAGGAAAAGTAGGTTATTAATGCAGTAGAAGGAGTCAGCTCTTTAGAAACCGATTTAATGGCAAAACATGCGGAGGATAATTTTTTTGCTAAGGTATCCTATATGAGCAGACCATTTTAGAGAATCGTCTATATAAAGACCTAAAAACTTGATTGAAGTCACCGTTTGGATCAGATTATTGTTTAAAGTTATAGGTTGTAAAGTACCTCTGTAAGACAATGCTACAGTTTTACTGGTGTTGAAACAAAGTCCATTCGAATCAGACCAGGACTTAATAGTCACTAGATCTTCACTTATGATAGATTGTAATGTCTGCATGTTAGAATTATTCCAGGTTACACTGGTGTCATCAGCAAATAAAGTAATTCTACCACTTATTCTTAAGTCTGTGATGTCGTTGATGAATAATAAAAACAAAATTGGACCTAATACTGATCCTTGAGGTACTCCACTGCTTATTGCTAGATTTGTAGAATCCTCACCATTCGCCCGCACCTGTTGATTTCTATTTTCTAGGTAAGTTTTAAACCATTGTAAAGGAGAACCCCGTATGCCATAAATTTGTAACTTATTAATTAAAATATCATGATTTACACAATCAAAGGCCTTTGCGAAGTCACAAAATACTGAAGCGGTGAAAAGTTTATCATTAAGTGATGTGTATATTTCATTAAGAACGGAAAACATTGCGTCGCTAGTGCATTTTTTAGGTAGAAAGCCATACTGATGAGCTGTGAGGATGTTATGCTTGAAAAGAAAGGGCAAAAGACGGTTTTTCATTAGCCGTTCTACTATCTTCGATAAGGTAGGCAATAACGCGATAGGTCTATAGTTACAGGTTTTGGTTTTGTCGCCACCTTTATGAAGTGGGATTAGGTGCCAAATTTAAAAATATTTGTCCACGACTGTTCTATAAAACATTCATTATACTCTTGTACTTCCTTAAGAATAATAATATCTATTATTCACTTATTCACTAGTGAATAATGATCCATTAGTCACGGTATGACGTCACGACAGCACGTATGTCTAAACTGATATGAAAATATTCTTTATAGGTAATCGAAAAAAAAAAAAATCGAAAAATCGAAAAATCGAAAAATCGAAAAATCGAAAAATCGAAAAATCAAAAAATCGAAAAATCGAAAAATCGAAAAATCGAAAAATCGAAAAATCGAAAACTCGAAAAATCGAAAAATCGAAAAATCGAAAAATCGAAAAATCGAAAAATCGAAAAATCGAAAAATCGAAAAATCGAAAAATCGAAAAATCGAAAAATCGAAAAATCGAAAAATCGAAAAATCGAAAAATCGAAAAATCGAAAAATCGAAAAATCGAAAAATCGAAAAAAATCGAAAAAATCGAAAAATCGAAAAAAAAAAGGAAAATCGAAAAAAAAAAATCGGAAAATAGATAAAAACGAAAAATCGAAAAGTCAAAAAAACAACAGTTAGTTACCTATGTTTAATAAAAACTTTCCATTCTACACTTAACTTTTATTTAATAAAGAAACCATAATGGTCGTGGACAAAGTATAGTATTAGACTCGCAATTTATGGCCATTATTCACTCTGCGTGACTATAAATTGCTGGTTTAATAATATACTATTAAATTAAATTAAATTAAAAGGTTTTTATTGACTTACGATTATTCAGTGTTTAGAATAATTCTTAGATGGTGTGTAAAGCAATAAAAAGTTATTATAACAGGAAATAGACTAATTTTGTACGTTTATAAAAGTTTCAGAGATAATTTATTGTAAAATAATTTTTGTAAAAATTCTCCTAGTATAAAAATGACATAGAGATCGTATAAAACAATTTTGAAAAAATCTGATGAAAGATAACTTTTACTTATTTGAATTTTTGAACAAAACATTTTTTTCCTCAAAAACAGCTCACCAGATTTTTTTCAAAATTTGCCCATTAGTTACTTATTTAATGAATATGTTAGGTGAATTTTTTGAAAATTTTTGAACGTAAGATTTATTCTTTGGTTGGGTTAGATAAACCTTAATATATTCAAGGAGGTCCTTTCACCACCAATGTTAAATAAAAAATATTAGATTATGACTAAATAATTAAATTTACACTATTCATAAAAAAATTGTTTTCAATTTACTCATTTGTGTCGTAATTTTATTTAAATAATAAAAAAATTATAATAAATAATGTGTAAGTATATCTCCATTGATAAATAAATAAATAATTAGATAGTAGTCTAATAAGTTGATATTTTTCATTTATTGTGATATTTTCAATTATAAAATAAAAAAATTTGGTTAAAAATAAATAAATTAATAAATATAAATGAAAAACATAATTGCGTTAAAGTTTACATTGAATGTATTCAATGGTCTGAAGTTCGCGCGCTGCGCAACGCTGCCAAATGTTTTGACTCCATTTTAAGCTAGGTTACTTGAACATTTTTTGTGATTTTTTAATATTAATTTCTCAATAAATTCCACGGTAATGTATATATTTTATTGTAAAAAACAAAACCTAAATATTTCAAAAACCTTATTTTTATTTTTTTTTCTACTCTACTCTAATCAATAAATAATAGTATAATTCGAGAATTGTTGTTGAGGTCTTACTTTCTCGTAAGACACTGTACAAAAACTCACATTTAAAAAAAAAAATTCTCAAAAATTTGCACGGTAAGGTATAGTTAAAAGTTCACTATTAGATAAATAAGAACTTCAACTATTAGAAAAAAATTAATTTTAGTCATAATCTAATATTTTTTATTTAACATTGGTGGCGAAAGGACCTCCTTTTAATTCTGGTATTCAGTGTATTATTTCGAAATGAATCAAATTTGTACCTTTTTTCAAGGCCAAACACTTTAAAAACTTTTAAAATACGCTATATAATAATAAATAATAGAATGGATAAGTATTGGTTAAAAAGAATCAAAGAACCAGTATATACAGGTTATTTAGAATTACCTAGGTATCTCCTGTATAAATTGGTACTTATTTTTGATGCTATCAAACAATTTAAAGACAAATAAAGAAAATCATACTTACTGCATATTATCTGGAGACGAAAACGTTGAATTTCCAAAGGGCAGTGATTGTCCATAGTATCTGTGTTCGATGAAAACGAGAAGAGCGTTGAAAACGGGTGCAATATCATACATGAATCCTGTGTTTTGAGCGAAAATGGAAATGTCACCATCGTTACCAGTGTAAACGAACACTGGTCCTCCTCGAACATGGTACTTGGAGTTTATTAGATATCTCAATTTGAAATACTTCGGCGACGGAAGTGCAGAAAAATGATCTACAGGTACTTCAATATATCTAGTTTCTAATGAATATATCTGCTCAACACTTTCAATTTCTATTGTATTTGACAAAAATACTAATAGAATTGAAATTGCAAACTTCAATAACAGTGACATGTTTAATAAATATGAACTTTTACTGCCACCACTTCGACACAATAACTAAAAAGTACGAACCAACGCACTTCTTTTATACTGTTTTGGGTGAATCACACCACTGTTAATGGTTAGTCAGGGGCCTTCGTACGTTTTTTCTAAAAAAACTATTTATTTTTTACCTATAAATAGAAAGTGTTTATACAAGGATTATAAGGTGCAAAACAGCCAAATGGAATAAATTAGGTTATAAATAAATGGGGGCGTGTTCGGAAAAACGCTTGGACACGTCGATTAGTATTTTTAGTTACGCATTTTTAGTATAAAAAGTTTTTATACAGGATGTTTCATGTAACAGTGGCCAATATCAACTTTCTTATATTAGATTTTTGGATTCTTCAGAAAATTCTAGACATATTTTATGTACAGAGATATTCATTATAAATTACCTACCCTTTAGCATCGTTATTATTGCCTATAGAAAAAAAAGTTTTAAATAAAAGTTGTGTGGTTATTACTAAATTTCCTTTCTTTCTGATTCTAAAAATATATATATAACCCCCACTGTATGCCGTTTTTTAGGTAATAAACGTCAAGTATCTTAGTTAAATTTACCCACCCCTTATCATCGTTATTATTGCCTATAGATAAAAAAGTTTTAAATAAAAGTTGTGTGGTTATGACTAAATACTGTTAAAATGCTATAAAAGATACAGTACCGTGCAGATTTCAGGGAATACTAAAGAAAACATTTTTAATGGTATACCCTGTATATTATTTTCTTTCTGATTTTAAAAGTATATATATATGTTACCCCTACCGTATGCCGTTTTTGAGGTATTAAACGTCAAATATCTTAGTTAAACTGTATATATGGAAAAGCTAACATTTTTAAAGTAAGCTATGAAAATGACAACTATTATGATTGACAAGTGACAATTATTTAATTAAATAACATGGTTTACAGCGAGGAAGAAAAAGTCCAACTATTTACTTGTTATATAAAAAATAACAAAATAAACGTGCAGCACGAAGAAATTATAGAATGTTGTATCCAAATCGTCCAATACCGAAAATACGTTTAAAAATATTTACCAAAAGGTGAATAATACTTCTAGTTTTAGTAGAAAAATGTGTGTAGTTCAAGCAAACCAGGAAGAACAATTAAATATACTGCTTCATTTCGAAGATAAACCCATCCATAATTATTTAAAATTTTTTTATCTATAGGCAATAATAACGATAATAAGGGGTGAATAAGTTTAACTAAGATACTTGACGTTTATTACCTAAAAAACGGCATAGGGTGGGGGTAATATATATATTTTTAAACACAAAGAGAAAGGATCATTCCAAAAATTAAATAATATACGGGGTATCCCATTAAAAAAATATAAATTTCTGCGATCGCCTAAAATCTGCACGCTACTGCATTTTTGATAGCATTTTAACGAAATTTAGTCATAACCACACAACTTTTATTTAAAACTTTTTTTTCTATAGGCAATAATAACGTTGCTAAGGGGTGGGTAATTTATAATAAATAACCCTGTACTATATCCTATACCTAACTGTTTAGAATAGAAGGCAACGAAAAGGCTGACGAACTTGCAAAAAAAGGGTCAGAAGAAACACCGGAATCAGACACAAGCCCAGGAGTACCAAAAAATACAGTCCGAGGTTTTATAAACGACTGGATTCGAGAACAACATATTAACTATTGGGGAAGAACCCCAAAACAGGCACATTGAAAAGCCTTCATAGACAGACCATGTCCCAAAAGAACTGGAGAACTACTCTTTATGAATAGGAACCAGTTGAAAGTGATAACTGGGTTCATGACTGGGCACGCCCCAGTAAAGGGACACTTGAACAAAATTGGCATGGACAATGGGGAACTCATGTGTCGACTATGTCACAAGAAACCAGAAACGGCCGGGGAAAAACTAAAACAAATTGAGACCCTCGGCAAAACAGAGTTCATCCACATTGTAGTTGACTATCTTGACACTCTTAAACAGAAACTGGATATTCTGACGCAAAGGACGACGAGATACCGAAAAGGAATGGAAAGAAGGAAACAGAACCAGATGTTTGCAATAAGCGAGAAACATTTTTATCGATGGCTAGAACAGAAAACTGATCAGAAGATTACACCGCCACTCAAAGATTACGTCAGAAACTTTTGGTATGAAATCTGGTCCACCCCATTCGAACACAATGATGCTGCGCCATGGATCATGACAGAAACTAAAAGATTCTCAGAACATAAAATGAACGCAGTTAAACTCACCGGTAGGGATGTTTCAATGAGCTGTAGACAGATGGCCGGAAATCGCTGTGACCAGAAGGCATTCAAAACTACTGGATAAAGTCATTTACTAAAACATATTATGATCATCTGGCCAATGCCTTCAACGATATTCTTGCCAATCCCACGCACATGCCGAAGTTTATGACGCAGGGCACAACCCACCTTCTGCCCAAAAGTGAAAACACCAGAGACCCCTCACAGTACCGACCTATCACCTCCTTGCCCACTATTTACGAACTATTCTCATCCCTAATCTGTAATAAAATATATACCTACCTTAAGGTTAATCAAATTCTTACCTTTGAACAAAATGATTGCAGACGAAAAGCCATGGGATGCAAGGAATAGACGGTGATAGACTCGATAGTTCTGGAACAAGCAAAATATCCACATGGGCTACATAAATTATCAGAAAGCCTTTGATCCCGTTCCCCATAGTTGGCTCCTACAAACACTGCAAATCTACGGAATAGACAAAAATATAACACATTTTTTCGAAAAAACTATGAGAAAATGGTCAACGTGCCTACATATAAAATCTTTTGAAGGCAACATCGAAGTCGGCAGTATAGGATTAAAGCGAGGAATTTTCCAAGGGGACAGTTTTAGTGCACTGTGGTTCTGTATCGCGTTAAACCCACTATCAAGAGCCATTGAATCTACAGACTATGGGTTTAATATAAAAAAAAAATGGTAATTCACCACGCAAAGAGGGCGGAAGAGGCATCCTCGATCTGATTCAGCTATACGAACAACAAACAATTGCACTAAGAGAGTATTTCTTCAGAAATAATAACACCAATCTGTACCAAGCAATTATTAACGCTGACATTAAATGCACACCTCTTCATCTCACCGTTCCCAAAGATGTTAAGTAACGAACAAAAAAGAATGGAACTTCTTGCTAAAGAACTCCAAGGAAGGTTTCAAAATGATCCCCAAAGAGATACAATTGACAAAGCCGCATCGATATACTAGTTAAAAAATGGTACTATTTTTCCTGAAACAGAGGATTTTATGCTAAGCATCCAAGATAAAGTTGTGAATAGAAAAAAACCATCGCAAATATATATTGAAAGAAAACATCGATACAGACAAATGTCGAAAGTGCAACTTAAATTCTGAAACAATAGAACATATTATTTCCACCTGCCAATGCATAGCAAACCATAAATGCCTGAAGAGACACAACAAAGTAGCAGCCGTAGTGTATCAAGAACTTTGTAGAGTGCACAACATTAAATAGGACCCCCAAACTCCCTACCATAAACTAAACCCCCCACCATTTGTAGAAAACGAAAGGGTCAAGATATACTGGGACAAGACATTGCTTACAGATAGGACAGTAGAACATAATAGACCAGACATGTAAATTTTCAACAAACGGAACAAAACAGCTTACCTGGTAGATATATCAATATCAAACAACAGCAATATGGACACAAAAATAAAAGAAAAAATAGACAGATACCTACCTATGTCGAGAAATCAAGGGCCTTTGGAAATTGGAACGCGTAGAAGTTATCCCGCTTATTATCTCTGCTATGGGACTGGTACCTACAAACCTTAAAGAAAACCTTTTAACATTAGGTGTCCCAGCAAATACTTACCACCTAATGCAAAAGTAGGTAATCATAGACACAACACATATAGTCAGATCATTTCTAGACACGTGACCGCAGCACATGTGTCTTGCCGTGAAGGCCGACGCATGCCTGTAAAAATACACCGATCAATATCGACCTACAAAAAAATAATAATAATAATAATTTGTTTTGTTCTAATTAACAGTGATGTTCTTAAAGTGGCGCTGGGAAACAGTAACAAAGGCTACACAGAACACAAGGCGAAATAACCTTAGCAGTTGAAGCCGATAACACACACAAAAAAATTAAAATTGTATGGATGGAACGATATTTTTAGAAGTGGTGTAGCTCAGTGCTACACTTTCGATGCAAAGAAAAATAGCTTATGTACTCTGTTTCTTTATTCAAATCTACTTTTAAGTTAGCAGTAGTCACGTCAAATTAGCGAATGTACATCTGTTGTTAAATGGTCAAGGATATTATTAGTCCAATGGAGTTTATTATTGCAATTGGTGTAAATGTGTGATTAAAATTTATTCAGAGCTTTTGACTAAATCCTAGAGCTACCAGACTGACTTTCCGCTTTATTCCGTCAGGGGTATATTTATTTCTTGGGATCATTCTACAACCTATAACATTTTTATTCGTAAGTCGTTTAACCATTACCCAAATATCTTTCTTGATCGCTTCTATCTTTGGGTTTTCATCCTTCTTCGTTTGATTAAATTTATTCTTTCCTCTGTACAGGGCATTTTTCGTTTTCCTACCTTCGTTTTTCTTAGCTTCATATTCTTCCACTATTTTCAGAATGGTAGTTCATCTCGGGATTCGATTGCATACCTGAAGTTCTCGAAATTAGTTGGTAGACTGTACAGGAGCATGATGGCCAATAGATCAGAGAAGACTAGAGAGAAAGAGGTGAATCGGCAATGGTCAAATTTCAAATTTTTGGCTTTCTTTTTATAAAGTTCGCGAAATTGACTGTAGTTGGCATGTCGAATAACAGCGGTGTCAATTTTATATGTAAGTCAATGTAAAATGAAGTGATTTTTTAAAAAATTGGTGAAAAAATTAAAATAATGTGAAAAGAGTACTTAAGTACAAGTAACATGAGTGACAAAAAACATCAACATCATTACGTCGTTCCAGATTGTAAAACAGGATAAAAATCAAATGTAAAACTAAAGAAAACACAAGACGAAATTAATTCAATGTCTTTTTAAAGCTTCTAATGTAAGTAAA